ATGCAGAAACCTTTGAAAACTTGTCTTCATAATGACTAAAAAGGTTCATAATCAAATGTCTGAAGAATATTGATTTGTCTATAAAGACAAAAAATCGTAACTTTCGATGCTTCCATAAAATGAAAAATTAGCTATAAAGAAACAAATTGTGTGCTGAAGCTACCGATGTTAATAGGTCAGTTACACTAGTCACGGACTCATGTTTTGATGATTTAAGCTTATGGATCAGCAAATAATAATAAGATCAGTTCTCATGCCAACTTTCTACATACAATGTTGACAGAAATATCACTCTTCAAAAAACACAGTGTATAATATCATCTCTTGCTGTAGTGCATGCCAAGGTTTCTTCTTCCTTGGTTTCATTCGTCAGTGCTACAGCAATTTTCATTGGTTGCTCAGTATAAAACATGGAAAAAATCAAGGTGAAAAAAGCCACATTAAGCGCTTCTGCACTGGACAAGTCACACAGTGTTTTTTTGAGGGGCGATGCATTTGTTTAATGTTGGATGTAGAAATTTGGCATTGAGATACGAATAGTTTCGGCTCCATCTATTGGCTTAAACTAGTGAAACACGATTGACAGGTGACTGACTCAACTGACACATTATGGGACCTTTAAAAATTAATATTCTTAAAATCCAAAAGTATCTTGTTCCACAAGATGATTGGGGTACCTACCAGTTTCCACTAGCTGTTTTCAAATTCTGAAAAAGTGCAAAAACAAACCCCCTATTGTACAACCTAATGAAGGTACTCCTTCAAGCTAAAATTTGATTTGGAAGTCTATTTTATCATGAGCTTTTGTTTAAGCCATATTTAATAGACCTGGTCAAGTATCTAAAAAATACCCATTTTTCAGAGGCCCTTTCTTGTTTCAACCTATGAATCAAAAATATGAAACTTACTCAGTTGTTTCCTCTCCTTCTTTACGAGGAGGTAAAAAATTAATCGTTGTGACCTCCATTGCGTTGAATGTAGCTCTCAATTCTCCATTTTCCACAAAAACTAAACGCCCATCTTTAGTGCCGGCCATAACTCTTTCAGCTGAAATCCAACAAACAGATGTGAAACTCAGTAGATCAGCTTTCTGAAATCCGTACTGTTTCCAAACAGACTCTTGAATTGTCAGCAGTCGAAACAAACTTGCTCCGACCAAGACAATTGTCGATGGATCACTTGGATTTGGAGCCATCTGCAAACAAGAAAATGTGAATGATACAAGAAAAGAATTCACGATAGGTAAAACTAAAACTTTCTCTGCGAAAATGACGCTTGGTTGTTAGCGATTTTCATAGATTTAACCAATGAACTCATTTGAGGAAATTGAAACTGGATTAGGATAATTTGGCCCAAAGGATTACTGAAAACTCCGTGACTTAGGTATACAGGGTTATTCAAAAGTCACGCACCACTGGCCATGAGGGGGGTGGCCATTTGAAATTTTTGAGTTGCCCCCCGCCCCTTTCCCCCAAGGGGATCAAAAACTGGAAAGTACCTGAAAAAGTTTCCGCCTCGATATGAGGAAAAACGTTTTAAACCGCAAATCAATATCATAAATAGAACTAAAGTTATGGCCAGTGGTGCTTGACTTTTGAATAACCCTGTATGAAGGTTTGCTACATGTGACATTCTTTAAAGAATTTTTGTCTCCCTTTCCAGAAATTTCAAATACATTAAAGGTTGAAAAGAAAAAAGATGAAAAAAAGGGTTGGAAAGAAATGATAAAAAATTTGTGTTGCTTTGAGCACTTGCATAAGCCAAGAGTGTATGGAACTACAACATCAGATAAGGTAAGTAAAAAACTAAAAAACGATGTATAGTAAGAGGTCATGTTAGTGCTTTACAAAAAGTATACGTGCATCTTGAATGGAGCCGTGGTGGAGTAAACTTGAGATTGCTTTGGCTGAACTTTCGACTTTTCCTTTTTCCCAGTTGTAATAATACAACATCCAGTCTGGATCACCAGACACAGCGACTAGGTAACGATTGTCACAAGTGAAACTTAAACAGACAAATTCTTGAGACTGGGTTTCAAATGGCAACCGAAGCACTTTCTCACGTTGCAAGGAAGACAAGTTGTAAACTGATATTGATGGTTTGTCACCTTTTTCTCCGACAGCCACATACTGCCTAAAGAGAGACACATCAACAGCAAAAATGTAATATTATTTGACTACAAACAATGCAATATAAAGTAGATCAATAGACTTGGTGCAAGTGATATTTTAACACTTCATTCTTGTAATATTTTCCAGCGATTAACGAGAATAAATATTTGATCAATTATTGGATTCAGAATACTTTCACCTTTACCATGTGTAGAGTATAGACCCTGTTTTTTTACGGGCTGCAGAAAATTCATCTTCTTTGACTCTCCTTTAGGATTCTTGGATTGGCCATCCTGATAAACTTTCATTTTCAATCATCCTTTGATATTATTCCATTCATTTTCACATAAAATGTCATTTTTGTGGAAGTGTTTAGTGCGCATAGAGTAACGCACTGACAGATTTCTTTACAAAAATAACCGTGCACAACAATTTTCTTCACAAAATTAATGAGCAAAACAGTTCTCTTGTTTCATCACCAGATCTAAATGCCCTTGATTAAAACTCAAAGGAGAGGCAGTGCATCGGTTTTCTTCTCTGTTAAATCACTCTAGAACATTCATTCATGCTCTCTGATAGTTATTTTTCGATATTTTTTTGAAAAACAAAAAAAAGACTAAACCTCAAAGTTTTAGTAATTGACTGCCCTCTACCCCCTTTAGAGGATAAAATTGCAGTGTATCCCGATTTTTCCGTTGAAAAATGCTACTTTGGTAGAGGCGCGGCGTTGAAAGCAATATTGACAGCGATCTTACCTATTGGGACTAAGAGCTAAAATTGACAGGACTTTTTGCGGGGCAGCAATTTTTATGTATTTCTGAGTTTTGGAATTAAAATCATGAAGAGTCAGGACAGCTCCGACAGGATATAGTACTTCATCTTCGGTAATAAACCAAGCATTGTTCTTGATCCCATTTGTCAATCCATAAAATATACAGGGTTCCAATCCTGGAAGAGACATCCTCCCTGTAGAATAAAAGAGGATAACATAAGCAAGTAATTATCATGAGTCAAATTAGTGATTACTCTAAATAATACTTCCAGTATCAAGCTCAGAACAGGAATTCGTAGGAAATTCTAGTATTATTGGAATTACTAATAGATTTCTTGTTCTTAAAAATGAAGTGTTGAATCGTCTCATACAGGCACAAAAATATAACAATCAGATGAAAATATGTATGCCTATTTCTGCTAAACGGCACCAAAGACAGGTGGGTAAGAAGGGGTGTGCTCGATAATCAAGGGCCGTGAAAATGAATGGTAATTGTAAAGCAGCAGGGACATCAGCGGCGACTAAGCTGTCGCTGCTGCTCAGAGTGGTCAGCATTAACTCATGAGCTTCGTCCACGATGCTTTTGTCACATGACCATGGCTCATGGCATGGTTGGCACATATAGTACAGTTTGACACAATGTAAAATCCCGCCTTTTTTCTCCATATTCCTCCGGAGGGAATCACGCCCACGAATACATTGTTTCTTATGCAGCTTTCTAGAGCACACCCCATCTTTCCCACTCATCTGTAGTTCCGTTTGGCAGAAATACATCCATATAAATAATAACTTGATAACTTTTTTTTTTTCTTACTACTTCAAATACCGCGCAAGTGGTAATCCTTACGCTTCCAATTAGAGCCCCTCCCCCCTCCGTTCCTACAATGTACCAGCCCAAGGCAACCGCTGTTTAAGATCATCAAACTCGGGACGCCTAGCCGGGAATCGAACCCAGGACTTCCTGATACTAGAGCCAGCGCTACAACCACTACACCACAGGAGGCCGACTATGACACCATTGTGACCAAAGCTGAATGTTTGCAAACCAAAATTTGACAGAAATAACCGAATGCCTGTCTGATGTGATCAAGATGTCACAGGGTAACAGTAATAAATCGAATATACTTGCGTCAAACTTTCCATTCAACCTTTCGTCCACTTATGTTGGATGAAAAGTTTGATAGTCTGAATTCGACCTCAGACCAGTGTGCAGTATTATACCATGCTTCTCTAGCCTTGTCTGATGGTCCTAATAGAATCAGCCTGCTAAGTGCTAATTCGGCACGGGCTCTATCTAGAGAATAGAGATAGAAAAAGTAAAGTTTATCCTTACCTACTGGACCTCTTGTCCTACGTTACCTTCATGCAGTCACCCGCTTGAACAAATATAATGCTTATACCGATAATAATATAATAATTCTTAAATGAGAAGCTGACTGAAAATGCACACAAAAATTTGACTAAATTGAAATTCACAATCATAAATCAAATGAAAACAAAATTTATGAAAGCACCCCCCCTCACCCACGTGCGATGATATCAGTTTTACTAATTAGATGACGCTGTTTCTAGATCTCCCCTTAAAATGTATATTTTTTTGCCACTAATGCTACTCCATAAAAAGCTGTGAAAAATATGCCAAAATTGATAGAAATTTTTCTTTAATTACCATAGATTCCAAGATTGTGAATGACTGTTTGAACTATGAACTTTTTAATAATTCTCTGTAAATTTAATTGTAAATTACATGACTACATTCGGCTACATTGTATTTCATGTTTGTTGCATCGGTCTCTGGTGGCAGTTTTGTGAACTGCATTATGTAAATAAAGAAAAGTTGCAAAAAAAAAAAAAAGTGTTGCAGTGTGCGGTGCGGTGTTGGTGTTTTTCAAGCTTTAAGTTTAAAGTTTAAAGTTGCTTTGTGTCAAGCTTCATAAGCTCCTTCCACACACAGGAAGTCGAATACTTGCTGTTTTTCAAATGTTTTTGATTCCATCTTTTGCAAGGTAAAATGTAGCATAATATCATGAAGGACTCGCTGAAATTTTCTATCGTCAACTTTGCGTCCTACTACTAGTGTTAAAAAACACCAAGTCTGATCTAATATTCTCAGTTCTACTCAGAAAACCCTAGATTTTGCAGCAACAATGTGGTTTTTCTACCTCCTAAGCTGGCTATCTACAACGATTCAAGTTTGTTTCATCACGCTAGCCGTTGGTAAGTAAAGTCTACTCAGAAGATTAATAGAGTGTCGTTGTTTGTTTCAGTAAGTCAATTGGATGCTGCATAGTAGCACTGCACTTTCATTTTCACCAAACACCAAGATTGATGTGTTCCTCTTAATGTTACAAAGTTTAATTTTCCTGTTTTGTTATCCTAAGGTGATTCGTCAAGCTCAAGTGACGTGGTCGAACTGGCATGCGATATATCGCATCTTATAGGTCAAAAATCTCGGCAGATTTTGAATTTTCAGCAAAAAAAAGGACGATAGCCCCTGCGCATGAGCCTGAAGAATCACTCTAAACCCAAAAATCGGCAAAATTCAGAGAAATGAAAGCAGGATAGTGTTTGGAAAAAAACCTCGCATTCGATTCAGCTATCGATTTCGGTATCGAATGCGAGGTTTTTTTCCAAACACTATCCTGCTTTCATTTCTCTGAATTTTGCCGATTTTTGGGTTTAGAATGATTCTTCAGGCTCATGCGCAGGGGCTATCGTCCTTGTTTTTGCTGAAAATTCAAAATCTGCCGAGATTTTTGACCTATAAGATGCGATATATCGCATGCCAGTTCGACCACGTCACTTGAGCTTGACGAATCACCTTAAAATCATATATGGAGGAGCAAGTTGAATTGATCGAAGTAGGAGGTAGAGCTTTTTTCGAAGAAAGAATGCCCTTCTCTTACACTAGATCATTATATAAGCTATTGCTTTGAAAAGGGCATTCATGTCCGAAATCGGTATTAACATGTTTCATCATTTTGTGCAAGTTATTATGCAGGCGGTGAAGAAGTTAAGGCTATTGCTAATATATTTAACTTTAACATGTAGGTATTGCATCATTAGAATTCATATGAATATATTTAAGCGCTGATGATCCTGGCAGGTCTGAGCCTTGTAATATTTAAATCAAATCTAATCAATATTTTGTACCACACAGTTTTTTTTTTTTTTTTTTTTTTTTTTTTTTTTTTACTACTTCAAATAGCCCACAGGGGCTAATCCCACGCTTTAAGTCCCATCCCCCCTCCGTCCCTACTGAACCAGTCCCAGGCAACCATTGTTTGTGACCGTCAAACTCGGGTCGCCTGGCCGGGAATCGAACCCGGGACCTCCCGATCATAGAGCAAGCGCTACAACCACTACACCATAGGAGGCCGACATTTGTCGGCAAGTTCACAAAACGGTAACTCAGAAATTTAATTACCGGTCATAGCTGAGCCTGTCTAACCTATCGAGAGATAAGTATTACCTCTGCAGAGTGACAGTAGACCTGTTTTCCCTGTTGTTATATCTCAATTGGCTGATTTAACTCAGCTTTTATTGTATCCTGAGTATACAGTCGTCCTCCATGGCCACTTGTTCTATTATAATGTATTTCCATGATTATTTTTTTGTTTTAATAATAACATTTTGTAAATCTGTTTTACTGTTGCTCTCTTAAACCTTTTTAACTCATCTCTGTCTTGTTTTCCACACATAGCTGCTGGACTGTATTACTTAGCCGAGCTAGTCGAAGAATTCACTGTCATATCAAAGAAAATCATCACTTGGATGACCCTTGTGAGTATAGCTCCTCTTTTAAACCACCCCTGCTGCAGAAAAGCTACAGCAAAAACTGACTGCAGCACAGTGTAAAAAGTTATCACTGTCATTGAAAATTGGCTGAGTCCACACAAAATAAGTTTGAGCGCTTTTAGAGTGCGACAGAAAATTACTTGTATTCAGTTTAGTATTGAGAGTAGACCCGAGAATCAAAATGGCAGATCTTGTGTTGCATTCTGAACGCTTTTGCGATGTAGATCCCTATCCTTTAACATGTGAAAGCCAAATGGCGCATTGCTCTCCTTAACCCTCCACCCCCCATAAAGCGTTACGTATTTCATAAACAGCGCTCAACTGTGCATAATTAATTACAATAGCCTCATTTTTCTGAAAATGCAGAGTACAGTATCCACCTAAAAAATATTAGGAACATTCATTATTATGTAATTGAGCATAAACTTGTCTTTTCCTCTCAAATTGCTATTTTTATATTTTTTATTCTTGTTTGTTTCAGGCAACAATAATCTGTTATATTGGATTTATTTTGTTCGAAGATCTTCCAAAGACATTGATCATTTGTGGGATATCTAGTCAAGTAACTCATCTGCTCATCCTTCAGACTTTTCCTTTCTTTACCATAACGTCTCCCACTTTCATAGTGGCTGTGATTTTACTCTTTGTGAATCATTATCTAGCATTCGACTATTTCAGCAGTGTTTATCATCCCTTCTCTGAGGTAATTCTCAATTTAAGTGTTAATTGATTCTGGGATTTCCCCTGTAACGTTTTCCCCAGAAATTAATATTTGAAAAAGTCTTGTTCAGTCTACTCAGTAGTTGCTCCTTAAACACAAAATTCATCAAATTTCAGACACCTGCAAATTCTCTTTTGACGAACAAGTTCTTTCCCATGTGGATTGAAGTGTTAAATTGTTTTCCTTTTTTCCCATTTTCAAATTTAATACAATAGATTCCTTCCAAACTGTGTTCCAACTCTGCTCCAAATTTTTTGGTGTCGTTAATCATTTCCAGGAGTTACAAAAATGTTTCATCAAGGTTCTTGGAAGTTACAAAGAGCAAGGATACCATTGTAAGCAGGGTTACACCAATTATTTTTGTGCTTATTGTGTCAGCACCCTGTGTCCTTCATTTTCAAGCCTAATCTTAGGTGTTCTTTTACTTCTTATGCCAGTAAAGTCAGGGCATTGCTTCTCAACTGATTTGCTCCTTTACTGCACTACTTTCTCAATAACTTATTAGTTATTATGATTCAATGGAAGTTCGGTTTTTTAAAATTATGATGCTGGAAAGCTCAATAACTCCCTCGTATTTTTTCTTCTCTGCTTTTATAATTAATTTTTTTCTGCTTTTTAGGTAATGGCATATTTCACTCTTTGTCTGTGGCTTGTTCCTTGTGCCCTCTTTGTATCATTATCAGCAAACGAGAATATTCTTCCAACTGTCGCTGAAACTCGGCCACTTCTAGGTTTGTGTGTTTTCATTTATTATAAAAATAAACTCCAAGTTCACTGAGCAGAATCCCAAATTTGAATTCAAAGGACTGCTTGAGAGGTACTGAAAAGAACTCAAGAAACAGAAAAGCAAAGTCTTAAATAAATTGGGTGATACATCCATTAAATCAATTGATCAATACACCTAGGGGAATAATATGCGTAAAGCTCTGATAAGAGGAGGGGTTGAAGAGAGCGTTGGGCCATTTTGTTCTTACGTGTCAAAGGAAAGGAACCTATGGTGCCAAAGTGTTGCGAGAGGGAGGAGTAGGGGTTGAAGAATCCGAAATTTAGTGTTTTGTATCTTATACAGAGCTCCTTTTTTAATGAATTGATTTTTTTGTTTAAAGGACTCCACTTCTGCTTTTTCAAATTTTTAGATCATTTTAATGACATTTGAAAAGTTTATGGCTACAGCTGATCTTTATTTCCTCAGAGTAAATAGTGCTTACACAATCTTGAAATCAAACAGGTGTGATGTATCGATTGTGATTTGATTCCAGCAGCTAATAGCTGGCAAATTTCCATGAAGAGAACTGTTCATCCTCTGTGCTTTATTGTTGTCTCCCTTAAATCCTGGAAATGTCAAAGCAAAAAAGTTTCAATAATGATGTGAAGTCATCAGTGATTTTTATTAATTTTTGTTCTGTTTTCATCATTAACTTTTACAGGTAATGACAATGATGTTGTTAGCAATTATTTCTCAAGGAGATGCAAGAAATATGGTCTTCTGAGTTTCTTCAACTATGCCAAAGAGTCTGTCCTACCTCAGCGCAGTAAAAAAGCCTTTTAATTGATCTTTCAACTCTAAACTGATTTATCAAGAAGAAAAAAAAAAAGCATTAATTCACACTTTGTACACTTTTTACCATTTTTCTTGCACGGGTTATTTGAAGCCCTGTAAGAATCTGTGATATTAATTTAGGTCTGTTTCTTTTTAAAGCTAGAAAAAGAACAAGCTTTGATAAAATGTACATAAATTTTATTAATGAGTGGTAATTTATTTTTTTTTCTGTGTTTTTTCTCTGTTTCTATTTAAATAAACATCAATTTGACAGGTTTTTCATTCTCTTGTATTCTTTATTTTTTAAGATTTCCTGAAGCTTAGGTGATTATTTATAATGTTATGCCCAAGTCATCCTTGATTAATTTCATTGTTGGTTTATTTTCTTTGGAAGGAATATGGAATGTGAGCAGAGATCTGAAAGCACCTCAAAATTTCTGTGTTACCTTGTTTTTCAAGAGAAGTTTTAATATCTTTTTCTATCTGCTACTTTTATCCTCATAAAGAGACATACATTGTCTATAGTACAAAATTAAAGATTAGGTGTATTTACCCTAAATGAAATTTGAGACAATGACGGATATGTATATACTTAGAGTGCAAATGTATGATGTGAGTAAAAAAGTGGTTTGGAAATTTCCAGCTGAACCCTAGACTGGTTCCATTATTAAAAAGTGATGCCGAAAGGTCAATAGGTAAACATTTGACACATTCTATAGTTCTGCCCAGTAGACTATGCTACGGCCTAAAATGTAAGTTAGGTATCTCTTGTTTTTTAAAGTTCCCTCATGAATGACGTCTCAGATTTTTATTTCAATGGAAGTACTTGATCTCTAGATGTGCACGCAGGATTTTCACTTCCAATATCCACTTTCACATCTCAAAATTTCTCTTGACTTCAATTCATATTCAGCTTTTCAGCTTTATGACTTACAAGTTCTTGGTGAAACAATGGAGCTCTTGCATGGCATGAGAATTTTTAAATGAAGTTTTTCTCCTTTTGTACAATTTTGCAAGGAATATTATGGTGCCAAGGGTTCTCTCTGAAACAAACTCCCAAGCTCCAAAAAGCTCTCCAAGTTGAGGCTGTAATGGAAAGAGTTCCCTATGTAATGATCCATAGAGGGGTAGATTCTCATTGTATCAGAATGGAAGGGATCCCCTCTCTCATGTCATCAACTTTGAGAGCTTTTTTTGAGCTTTGAAGTTTGATTCAGAGAAAGCCATGGGGTTCATTTATAGTTGTGAAATTGCTTAGATTGCAAATCTTTGTGGCACTCAAGAGCTCCTTTATTGAGTATAGAAAATGCTAACTAGGTAGCTTACTTACATACGTTTACTCAATAATCTCTTTACTTAAAAAATTCTCTGCAAATAGTTCAAGTAAAATTTTGCAAAAAACAATCAAATTTTTCTTCTCCTGGTGAAAATCTAAGATTTTACTCTATAGAGTAAAACCCAAAAAGGAGATACCTTAAATTGTTAGGTACTTTATTGAAATTCTCTCATCTTTAGATTTTTTTTAGATACCTATACTCACTACACTAGGCACTTCGTGTCTTAAAGTAACTTGTATACTAATATCAAATTTAGGACACAGCATTGCGAAATGCTGGAAGTATTTATAAAAAATTTCAAAGAAGCTTATTTCTCTTTATTTGCTTCTTTTTCTCACCAATTGTAACTTAGATATTGATTCGTTACCAATATTCACCTTCTGTCATTTTATTTTACTTTATTTACATAATACATTTTAATTGAATTTCAATGAGATGGATAAAATTTCTGTCCAACCTCATTTGAGAGGAAAATTTCAGTAATGAGCGCATGTTCGGCGCATGGCGGGCATGGCGGAGCCGGATTCAAATTTTCGAGCGCAATGGTAAGTTTTACCAACCTAACGTAGCGGGAGACTCTATTCGAGTAATGCTGGGATTTTCCTTGTTTTCTTCAATTAAGTTGCCATCTTGAAAGCCGACATTATCCGTGATCACGCTGCTACTTTCCTCTCCGGTGCCTATCGTGAAGAAAAGCACATCATGCCTGTAAGTAATTCATTTTTGTTATTTTATCGTTTATTTTCTTTATTCGCAAGAAACTAACGTTATCGTTAAAGTCTCACTTACTAAATGTTCGATTTTGTCAAGTATTTTTCGTCTGAAGTTCGTAAAACTAATGTGCGTTTTCGTTGACAATGTGGTTGCCAGCAGGTCAAGTGGCCTAGAGGGCCCCGTGTCTGCATCTTATTTCATGTTGCAATGCTTCATTACATCCCTTTCATGTCACGGAAATATATTCCAAACGATTTTCGAACGAAATGTTTTGATATTATTTATGCATCCCTTGAAATTCAAGGTTTCAGTGGCTCCCACCCTCAGCACACCATCCTTTGTTGACATGTTCATGCCATCTCCATTATCATGCAATCTTGCAAATTTTCGTCTTCTAACTCACTCTCGACCGATTCGTGTCGTCTTTTACTTTATTATACCACGCTTAGCCTTAGATGTATAGCAGCGGACAGCCCATTGGTCACTGGGCCCTCCCTGCGACAGAGTAGAATCTCAAGGTAACCACTTACCTAGCTGTTCATGTAACCAAAATATGTTGTAGGTTGTCATGTGCGAAAGTACTGAGTAAATTGTTCTAACCATTTTCTTTTGTCATTTGTACCTACCTGTCTTGGCTCTTAACTTTTGATGCCAAATTACACTCACTTAGGTTTACGGATTGGGTACACAGTGCTGAGCGTCGATGTCCTGTCATATCAATTTTAGCTGATTGTTCATACTATAGACCTCAGGATCTGAAGGTTCATTCCAAGGTCTTACGGTAGTCATTTGCGGTTTCTTTCCCTACTTGAGGTTTGAGCAACCTTCTCTGACTGATCCCTGGAACTGTTTTTCTGTTTCAGTTTTGCTCCCCCCGTTTCTTATCTTGACGGTCTAGAGCGGACTCATCCTATGTTGAGACAACAGTCAAGTATTGTTTAGGTCACCACTGATCAGTGGCGCCACCTGACTGCATGTATTATCCTGTTGAGTGGTGCTGATTTGGAGGTAATCAGAAATTGACATTTGTCTCAACATACGATGAGTCCTCTCCAAAACGGGAAAACAATTGAATCAATTTCTGCGTTTAAATTGCCAGCTCTTATAATTCCCATGTTTCAACTTCCATGGAGAATAAGACAATAATTCAATTTTTCTCTTTTATTTCAGCTCGCAACAGATTTGCTACATCCGTCGCTCGCCGATGAAAAGCGAAAGCACAAACTAAAGAGATTGGTGCAACATCCGAACTCGTACTTTATGGATGTCAAATGCCCAGGTAAGTTGTTGTTTTCTTGTCAAGGGCAGATTTCTGGAGGCTCTGAGCCTTCCGTTTGTATGTGGAGATGGACATTAATCTAATTATGTGGATCAGCACACCTCATCAGTAGTGCAGTGTTGATGTTGGAAAATTTCAAAATCATGCATGTTCAGGCTCAGAATTTTGCTATTGGCTTCTACTAAAGCATCTAGACAATTTTTTCCAAAGTAATCTGACATTAAATCATCACTGAGAGGAGTGTGATTGAGTATGTGTGTAATTGCAGTGTGCACACATCCAAATTGCGCATTGTATGTAATTCGTCAAAAATGATGTCTCAATTAGAATTGCATATTTCATTACGCACTCACAGGCAACACCGTAGTAGTGAATTCTAGCATACTACTATCCCACACTGAAAGTAGACACCAGTGAACTATTGCCATGAGTTAACATTAACAATATGTGACGTAGGTCTCTAAACATAATGAAGGAATTCTTGGGTCAAACCAGCTAACCTAATATATAACTATTGAAATGATGGTCTAGTAGATGTCGCTCTCCATTTATAATTGCGTGTACTTTTAAGAAAATTCTCATCACATCTGCCAATCAATATTCTGTGGGTCTCTCCACAACTAGGATGTACCAGCATGGTCAAATGATTCTTCTGAACAAATTACGCAAACTTGTTTTATCTCCTGATCCACTTACCAGGGTGCAAAATGAATCAATAGGGTTCTAGATTTTGCACAGGAAAATTCACTTAAGTCTCCATTCAGCGCCGATTTTCATAGCTAAGACCAATTTGTTGAATCAACCTAGCTGAGGTGAGGCAAACCTTAGGATTAGTTTGCCCATTGAAGCCAACTTGTTAATCCAAGGTGCAAAAAATTCTTAATCACGGAGCCACATGCCATACAAGAAGGTTCTGAAAATGAGGTCTTAAAAACAAGGAGGTGTGGGAAATAGGCCTTCAAAGTAGGAAGGTTGGTGTGCGTTATGCTAACCCTCAGAACTTTCTGTATCATTGTTGTTAAAGACTTTCTGTACCAGTGATCAGCTTAGAGGTTTATCAACATGGTTATTGCCCTACTATCCGTTAAGATCATTTAATGTTCTAATTTTATCAAACCAACCTCCTATTTTCTCAAAGAAAACCAATTTTAAGTCGTTCCTCCCCTCTCCCTATTTTTTTAAAATCCACTAAAATTACAAGAATGCTTTGTCCTTTTTTTCAGGCTGTTACAAAATAACAACAGTATTCAGTCATGCACAGACAGTAGTCATATGTACGGGCTGTTCTGCCATCTTATGCCAGCCAACTGGGGGTAAAGCAAGATTAACAGAAGGTAAGATGTTTTGGATTCTCGCTTTTAATTATTTTGCCCTGTAGCTGTGAAGTTGGATTGTATCTTGTCACTCGAAATAATCAAGTTGTCAGTCATGTCAGTTGATTTATGACAGTAATTTTGAAAGGCTTCAAAGAATATTTTGGGGTTGCTGCCAGTCTAGAAAACTGGAAAAGTCAGGGATTTTGTGACAACAGTAAAAAGTCAGGGAATTCCTAACACATCCACTAATCACTAAAATATATCACTGATCTTTCAACTGTTCACCTTTTATGGTCTTTCGACGGCTTGTCATCTCTTAACCGGGTACTGAATGCCTTTTTCCATAATGGGATCTTTGAACAAGGAAATCAAGTCCAAGTTTAGCAAATGTCAACATGTCTTAAAAGAACTAAAGAAAGAAAAAAAAGTAGGGTGGAAGTTTTGCTTTAAAGGCAGAGGAAGTCAGGGAATTAGAAAGTTTTGAGTCTGGAAAAAGACTTTGAAAATGAAGCATTCATGGCAACCCTGATATTTTTTTTCTCTTAATGCTAGTGATGACTCATATGGATCTTCAACAATAATAGTGAATACTGTCGAAGTTTGAGTTAACTAATATAGATTTCATACAACCTGGGGGGTAAGTGGTGGAAAGAAATCTCCGAATTTCCATTTGCGAAATGCCGCATGTCTTTCAAACTTCCGTACCTGAAATCTTAGTCACTGTTGTGAATGACCCATTATTGCCACTGATGGCTTTCTTCCTTTAAAATTGCTGTTCTGTATTTATCTATTTAATATTCAAGAGTCAGGACAAGCAGAAAAGTGTTAATGCAATTAAAGCTAACTAGCACAATTGCATCGTTTTTCGTTCCGTAAATAAAGCTGTTCAGGTGCACCCGTAATTGCAGCTCAATGTCAAGTAACAAGTTCACTCAGCTTATTCCTGTATTGCCTGCATTTTAATGTAGCCCGTTGCCTACGAGAATGGAGAGGCCGTAACCATGATTCTGTGACGTCACACTAGTAGATGAAACTCGGCCGCGGTTTAACACGCGTTCTTATGGGAGAACGCTTGCCGCGCGATGATTTCTCGCCGATATCTTTTTCAGGGTTGATCTGACGAAAAATTTCATAAGAACCTTTTCGAAAGAAGATGAAATTTCACTTTAGAAAACTAACTAACCCATTTGTGACAGTGTCTAAAAATCGAGGAAATGAAAGCGTAATGCCGAAAATCGTTACTCCACTCAGATTCAAACGGGCCGCTTGCGCAACTTCGGCCGATCGAGGGCCACTCTGATTGGTCCACGCAGCGACTGCCTCACTCATCGATGCACCGATGACCCGGAGATGCTTGTTGTTTTCGGTAAATATCTACTAGCTTGACGTCACACAACTGACTAGTTACGGCCTCTCCATTCTCGTAGGCAACGTGTAGCCCTATGCCTTGTCACTCCAAGGGTCCCCAAGTTTGCCTGATTTAGTTTTTCTCTATTTTAGCAGTAGGCTGAAAGTGAACAAGTTATTTTTGGCATAAAATAGTTAAAGAATCTCTACAGTGAGTTTAAAGAAGCTCTCACAAGTAGAGTTTATCAGTTATTTTAAAACAATTTAAAAAATATAGAGCTGTCTTATTTAAGAGTGGTCCCAGTCAGGGAAAACAGGAATGGTTGGAAGAAATTGATCAGGGCAAACAAGGAAAAATCAGCGTAAAAGACCATAAATCTAGAAAAAATTGCATTAAATAAGAAAGTGACAAATTTTTACAGATTATTCATAGCTTCAGCTCCTCTCTTTTTTGGATCAATGTGACTTACAACTGATATTTAGCGTGCCTTACAATCGCCAAAGTCAGGGAATATTGTAAAAATAGGCCGAGGAAAACCCAGAAGAGTCAAATCGAAAATTTCTATGGCCACCCTGTCATTTTACCTATTCAGAGTTACAAACATTAACCACCCTCTCCAGAGAACCAGAGTTCATTTCTTTATTTCTGATAAATAATGAGATATTTTCCCTTGATGTGTGATTCTAGTAAGGTTAACATGTGTTTGGGGGGGGGGTGGGGTGTTCGTGTGTGCACTTTTCTGAATCTTTGAAATCTAAAAGATCAATGATACCACGTAATTGGAAGTTGATGTATTGATTTAAAAAGTGGATCTCTTCGGATGATTTAAAGTTACATCCACATGATGAATCAGAATTGTGTTGGCAGAGTTAAATTATTAATTCTGTGCAGTCGTAAGCACTAGTTAGAGCTCAGAAACGTATATTACGTTTGCTTGGAACTCACTTGTGCGTAGATTTTATACATGCCGCCGCTTTTCTCCGACTTGCACTCTAGCATCCTCAGTGCAACTGCCATGCGATTCTCCATAAATTTTATTAATGAACTAGAGCTGTACCCTCTTTTATATAATAGTTTTTTAAAAAATCAGGAGCTCTAATAAGAAACAAAAACTAAGTAAGTAGGTATACTTGTATATCTTGGTTTGCGCATTTTAAAAGGAAAAATGACCCTCAATTAAAGGCAGACATCAACATTTTTAATAATGCTCTTCTTTTAACAAGCATTTTTGCAAACAATTGAAATCGTTAAAAGATAGGGATTATGCATTATTCTAATTGAAAGTATCAAGTTAAATTCAGAGTTTCCGGAGGGACTTTTTTAAAATAATTGGATCAATAAGAGTTATATATATGCCTCAAGAGCACATCAGTGTTTAAAGTGCGAAACGGTGCATCTCCTTTTTACGGTATCGTAGATCTGTCGTACTTTCCTCACTTTTTCATTGGAAAACTAGTCAACGGAATTTCTTGAAATTTTCTTTGATCTTTCTTCTCTGCTAGCAGAGTATTCTCTACAAATTTCATGCTATAAAGTTAGCTTATTTCGTCACCTTCCAGGCAAAGTATCACAAGCGTCATGCGACGTTTAAAAATTTCCGCCGCCATTTTATTTTTTTACTGAGAAATTGTTGGTTGAATCTGTTTGAAAATTTCACTAAATTTTATCGGCAGCACAAAGAAAATTCGGTGAAATTTTCGGACAGCTTTGTTGAACAATTTCTCTGTAAAAAAATATAATGGCGGCAGAAATTTTTAAACGTCGCATGGCGCTTGTGATACTTTGCCTGGAAGGTGACGATATGTTTTCGAAAAGACAAATTAGGAAGGAGCAGAAATTTTGAAACAATCCAATGAAGATATGTGGTTTCACACTGTGCTCATTGATAAGTTTAAATTATGAAGTTAATTCCAATAATACGTATCCATAAGTGTGGCCAAAAAGGAACAATCAATCGCTTATCAAATTCGACCTATAACATGTTTTCAGCCGTTCCCTTGCCTTTATTCATGGGGTAATTAATTTCAAAATTTGATCACATACTCCTGAGGCATCGATCTACCTCTTGTCTATCTGATTTTTTTGTAAGTAACCTGAGTTAAAGTGTAATTTTTCATCTTTTGAGGGTGTCGTGACTTAAAGAATTATTCACCTTTAAGGCAGCACAGTTTGTAACTTCGTTTTGTAAGTAGCTTGTGCCTCCCAAGAAAAAAGGTGAGATTTTTACCTGTTCTCGTTGCACTGTAAGAACTAGCGTGTCAACACTGCAAGTCGATTCACACAATCCAATTTTTGTCTGTTTCAGGATGTTCGTTTAGGAGAAAACCTCACTAGCTTGTTATCATAATGTTAAAAATTCTGATCATTTTTTTTCTTTTTTTTAAGATAACTTGTAATAATTTAAGTTATGGGGTTTCTCCATTTGTTTTGTATTTTTTAAAATAAATGGAGGGCAGACTTCCTTTTTAATTCTTCTTTCTTTTTCAATTATACTCAGTCCTTAAAATATTGAATCCTTTAAATTCGCTATTAACTAAATCAACGAAAAACAGTCTATACCTAACTGGGATGAGAGTATTTTTATAGAGCCTTGATTCAAAGATATTCACTTTTCCTAATATCCTTTTTATTTTTCTTTCTTTTTGTTTTATTTTCTGTCAAAATTTTGATTCATGTGAGAAATTTGAATAAATATTTCTTTTTTAATTTTTCTGAGAACTAATATCAACAGCAAAAGCAGTTGGCCCAAATTTTCTGTGAGGAGCTATTTAAATCTCATACGCTTTCGTTTTATAAACAAGATGTTTTGCTAACTTGCGTTTTTGGGTTAAAGCTTCATCAGTTTTCTCCAAAATTCTCTCTTGATGAAAATCTAACTGAAGTTGGCAGAAAAGAACTGTGTCTACTTTTTTTAGAACATTCTTGATTTCGATTCACCATTTAATTTTTGGAGCCGTTTAGTAGAATATCTTTGACATCAAACCATTCATCAACAAAGAAGCTCAGTAAAATATTAAAAGGATGTTGGTTTCTTTGATTCATTGAAAATACCGTTTTTCTAAAGCTTTTCGTTTCTTGTGATTTTACCGTACCATCTGAAGGCTTATCGGAGACAGGACGAATTTAGTATTTGCTTCATCATCTTTTATATATACTTGTATAATTTTATTTCCTTTCTTATTTTTTTAACAGTCCAAAATGTTAAGTAATTCTTGTACGTATAATTGAATAAGATATTAATTTTTTTATCTTACTGGTTTTCTTCTTATTTTTACTTTCATTCTTCTTTACTGGGAAGCTCTGCAAACAAGTGAGTTTGGCGTTCAAAGATTCAGCACAGTTCACAATGTCACAACTAAGTTTTTGAATTTAATACGATTAGTTCTTCTATAATTAGCATTTTCTATTGAATAGCTGGTTTCAGAAATTCCTTAATTCATTGAGAGGGGAGGGGGGAGAATCCCCTAAAACAGGAAACACTTAATTCAGCTAAAAATTTTTTTGTTCCTTATTTTTCAGTTCCCAAATGAGCTTTGTAGCCTAAAATATGAAACTTATTGGAACAAATAAGAATTTAGGCCTATCTTTTCCATCCCAAGTGTAAAAAAGGTTTCGGAACAAAAAAAAAATTTAAAGAAGTGTGAGACCCTTAAAGTAACTTAACTGCAACTAAACAGATTTTTCATTTTTTCTTAGTCGGACATTTTTCGAAGCAAGGCATTCAATTGCGTAGTCCATCTTCTAACGATAATCATCCTCTAAAAATGAAGAAATCTTGAAATTCTTCTTGTTGCCTTTCTTGCTCTGTGCTTCCAAATTATACATTGTACACTCAATCTCATGTTATTCTCTTGAAACAAGATGATAGATGATGATAGGGGCAGGTTTTACCGCTGTGGGTTCATAAAAACAATCGCTAACAGCTTCAATATTCCATTGAATGTTCTCTTTACAAGACCACTCTGCTTGAAATGTCAGGTCCGCGCTCAATTGCTTCATCATCAATATTTTGGCTGAGGTTAATCCCAATGTACCCAGAAAAAACTGCTTTTCCCTATATTTTGATGAAGAGAAAAATCATCAGGTTCTAAATTACCCTTTTTAAATTCTGATGCCAAAATCAAGTACATTTTCAGCAAATCAATAATCTTGACTTCAACATCTCCGATTTTTGCATTTTTAATGATTTTAATTTTAAATACAACAGCAATTGACTCATCAACAATGTAGCAGCTACTCAAATGAAATTGTAGTGAGAGAAGTTATCAGCAGTTATGCCATAAGGGTGTCGTAGATGTATCTGAACTCCTCCTTTATATCAGTGTTGAAGTAATTTAACTGCTATGACTGACCAAGTACATGTCGAACTTACTCTCTGCTTTTTTAATGTGTGGACAGTAAAAAGCTAATTCAAGTTGAACTTCTTCATTCGCCAAAAACATTATTGAACAATTTTTAGATGCAGTGTCCTCGGTAACAAAGTTCCTTTCGAGCATTATCAAATTGCCTTTAATTTCACAGGTCCAGATTCCCTACATGAATTCTCAAAAAATAATGCCTAGTTTTTTATTAGGAAGAATAATATAATATTGAATTAAAAAATGCCCTTAGCTTTCATGATCGAATGAGAATTTTTCTTCTTTTAAAAAAAGAAATTGGATACCTTGCGGCTGGCTGTCAATAGTTAATGGAGACATAACATTTAGAAGACACTTTTCACCGAAGCCTCAGTGTGTTTTTCATTTGATATTTTTTCGGTGGTCCTAATACTCTCCTGTGAATTTTTAATCACTTTGAACCATGAGCGCGAATACATTATCTCAAGTGGCTCTATCCATTGACAGATATCGGTTTGCAGTCCTCATTTTTCTGGAAGATAAGAGTGAGTTTATAATAAAGTCAGGAAAAAATGTATTTTATTTATATATGTACTACTTCATGGATATCCGAGTTCAAATATAAAACTTTATATCGAAAGTAATTGTCATTTGTCTCATTCAGTTCTAGAAGAATAGACAGCTTTTTTGACTGACAACATCTTTCATCGGACAGTTTTCAATCTCATTTTTGTAACCAGAAGTACAGCTCATTCTTACCTCCTCCAGAACTTTTTTTTTTCTGAAGCACCATAACGTCTCTGAGTGGTAACGATAAATAATTTTTCTTTTAATTGTGCCGAAACTCCAATAGAAGGTGAATGTCATCTCTCATCATTTCTTGTGTTGGCTTTGAAATTGCGGTGTCTAACAGAAAATCTTAAATGTGAAGGTAAGTACACACAATCTCTTTTTGTTAAAAATGTAGAAGAATTCAAAAAATTTAAATTCTGAGGCATCAGATCAAACTAGCATCTATCATTTTACTCAAAATTTAAACTTAGAGTAGGTATAAGTTTTTTCTTCAAGATCTCTAAAAATATTTCATATGTTGAGTCCCTTTCCCTTGGATTTTTCCATGCATTGAATTTCTCAGGTCTGTAGCTATTGATGATGTCTGCACTTACTCTTTTCTTGGTCAAGTTGTAGTAATTTGTTTCCCAAATATATCAAAGTTAGTTTTTAAAATATCGACAAATTGTTGCTTTCTGCTGTAAATAAATGGTATCTCTACTTATGAGGTGGTATTATATCACTAGGCCAGCATAAATGTATTTACCGACACTTATCTTTTTCAGTTGGTGAGAAACAATTGTTTCTTCAACCTTGGAAGATAATTCTTTTGCATAAATTTTCCTAACTTTACTGTTCCTCTTTACTTGCTACCATGAACACTCTTCTGAATTAAGTTGTAATATTTTAGTGAATCTCGTTCTTCAAGTGTGCAAAGCCACATCTCATCCCTCCAAATTTAGCAGTCTTCAGTCAAAGTGAAAATTTAGTAGAACTTGGTAGAACAATTTCGTTTCCCGGATCAATAACAGGTGACTTATTTTTATACCTAAAACTGGCTTTTATCGAGGCACTTGTCAGGGAAACAAGTTGCCAGTGATGGACCCTGTTTTATTTTAATACCTACATTTTCCCATCCCTGTAGGAGGTCTATCGAAAGTGTTAGCAGTGCTCTTTTTAATGAGTGTCAGTTAGCATGATCTATTTGATGAGTCGATGTTTGATATGGAAGGTACTGCACCGTTAATGGTTATCAGTGGAGGGAACTTTTTGTTGTTGTAGGTAATTCGAGTGTTAATGTGCACATTTGGATCGAAGCAGGAGCTTGACAAGTGGTTTTCAAGTTTTGACAGTCTGTTGAACTAGAGTACCTCATCTCTGGTATTTTTTATTTTATTTTATTTTTTTATTTTATTTTTTATTTTTTTTTTTTTTTCAATACTTACCTACGTGATGAACTGAATTTTGTAAGTATTCAAAATCTAGAAGAAACATTTCGAATGTTTGAGAGTCTGTCTATCAGTGTAATGGATATACTCTTTAATTAAGATTACATTTATCTTAAAAACTGAAATAAGATACTTAAATATGCGTTGAACTTCATCTCTTCACACAGAGTCTCGTGAAGTACCTAGGGAAATTTCAATCCTCTGAAGACACCACTTTGCCTGACTTAATCACAGTTACGAAGGAGCCGACCGCAAGTTACATTGAGCCCTTGATCAAAATTTTAACCCCCCCTCCCCCCAGATGTTGTACCCCCTCCCCCCTCTTTCTTATGATGCATTTTTCAGGCAATCCTCTCTGACGTAAGGACATGGTATATCTAATTTAAGGATGGCTCTCAATCTTGAGGGCGCTTGGATTCTGGAAATTGATTTTCCGGGGCAAGTTATGGGGAGTACCTAGCGGTCGGCTACTAAAACCGCTGGCGATCGTGCATGATCTTTTTTTTTCTCACGCAGGTACCCTACCCTCTCTGAGTCAAAGTGTGAATGGTACCTAATAAAGCAAATCGCCTCTTTGCCGTGCTGAAAAAAATTTCGAATGATTCTTCAGGCGTTGCCAAATTTCCCCTGTTAAAATACGATTTTTCCGGGATGAAGGTGAATATTTTTTTTTTTTCAATTTTTCGAAAAATTTTCCTCGTAATTTAACCGTATCTAAAAATTTTAAGGTAGGGAAAATTGTCTTAACTATTGTCAAAATTTAACATCTTGTCAAGAGAAATTGGGCAACATTCGAAAGTTCCAACGGCGTTCTTCCTTCGCGTAGCAGAACTGCCGTGAATCCGATACCCGTATTGGAGTTCGTGATCATGTGGAGATGACAGGTGTTTTTGGCGGAAAAATAAAAATAGAAAAACAAGGCTCCCGACGATACATTCCCCTGCGTGGTTGCCACCGTATCCAGTCTCGCGGGCCTCCCAAAATGCACCCGACCGGGCCTTGAAAATTTCGCAGTTTTTTTTGTGTTTATACGTCCGCAGTGGTTCAATTTCGACTAATTTTTGACTGTTTATTAATCCCAATTTACAGAGTATCGCGTCATATTGTGGCTGTGATGAATCGTTGACATGGATCATGGACCTGACAGGTTCCTGCCATCTCGCAAAATGCGCCGGAAAAAATGATGAAGTGAGCGCGCGAACTTGCAGTCCTTTATAATGTTGGGATGGACCATTCTCTTCCTTGTTGTTGTCGCCAAGACAGAGGCGCAGTAAGTTACTCTTCACACTTTAGTACACATTTTTTTTCATCCTTCTGCACAGCAGCAGAACTGTTACCTTAGGGTTCTCTAAGTTGACGTGGAAATCTTACCTAGATTATTTTTTTCCCCCATCATGAAACGTAGGTATTGTATGACACGTAGGTACGACGTCTCGCGCTAAATGTCCGCGATCTCGCTGGAAATTTAGAGAAGCGCGTTTATGAATACTCGACTAAAAAATTCTCCTGCAAATTGTACGTGAAGTAATATTTTAATAGAATAGAGTTGTTTCTTTTTATATTTTTTACGATTAAGTAGGTTCTTTTTCTCTAAACTAAGCTCTACATCCCACGAATGTTTCCTTAAAGCTACGTCCGCTAAGCTACTTTCGGTTCGTGCATAAGAAATAGTTTCGTGAGTCATTGAAGGAGTCATGTCGGGATATACGCGTGCGTTCACGGAAGGAGGGAAAGATGAAATAATCACGGAGATATTTCATATATGAATGGTTCCAAGTAAGTTAATAAATTTTCTATAATGAAATTTTTTTTCGCACCTGCCGGAATGTAACCAGGGGGGGATTTACCTACTTGCCGCCCGCATGGGCCGCCTGTATTTTGCCGCCCTCTTCTCATTAATTTTGAAACATCAATGAAAACCATCGAGTGAACGTGCCGGAGGGAGAAGGGTGCATAAGACCCGTTCACTCGTGTTGGACACATTTTTTGCGTAAGCCCTGTCAACACTCCTAGCAAAAATTCACGGAACTTTACGTGAAAGTTAAGTTCCGTAAACCTATCTCCATGTGGACAAGACCTCTCATTTATAAGAAATGAACGAACAAATTCTGAAAGAACAAACATAAATGTGGTTTAATCATTTTAACTTCCGCCGCCGCGCCTCGCTGACCGCACTGTGTTCGACGCAATGCGTGAAGTATTCATGCAGTCTCGTAGGCGCTATGCGTTTCACGCCGACCGCTGCTGACCGCACTGTGTTTGACGCAATGCGTGAAGTATTCATGCAGTCTTGTAGGCGCTAATATGTGTTACATGCCGATCGCCGGCCGCGCCGCGCCGTTCCAGGCCAAATTGCGTGTTTGGTCCATCTCTTAACTCGACTAATTAAAGGTGCTGTCTCTTGTATTACTGAAAGACGACAAAATTAGAAATTACTATACTCTCAGAAAATGAGAGATTTTGTTGCCTTTTCTCGTTTGAGATTTTTTTCCTGTATCCGATTTTTTTTTTAAACCTACATTTAAAAGAATTGCAAAATTTGCTGCCATGGACCAGGGCCCATATGTGGCCACCCCCTAAATCTGGCCCTGGTGTACTTACATAAAGAGTTGTTTAACAGCTCTTGTAAACAGGAAGCTTAAGAAAATGAAGTCTTATAGGGCTATTTGGTGTCCACTGTTCCGATTTTAGAGGTTTTTGTCTAAAATGCAGTGATGGAGCTAACCCAAAAAAGTTTCTCAAATTTTCCCAAAGTCAATATTGCGCTGTGTTCTGTTTTTCTGAGTACCATGACTGTACATTTTAAGATCATTAAAACGAATTTCACGTCTTAGTAAAATTTCATGTTTTCACATTGTCATTTCGTTTCTCCGATTTTTTTAAAATTATTTTAAGTGTTCAAAGCGTTCAAAGTTTAGTTTGTAAAAAAAAAAAAAAAACCATTCTAATACATGCACTTAAATTTCATTGTGCCTCTTTCTGCTTACTTTAAAAAAAATAGTGTAATTCAAGCAGAATAACATGTGAGTTCCAATTTTACTTTATGGTAATAAGTCTAAACGCGACCATCAAACATGGTCTGAGTAAAAGTGTCTTTTGGATGGTATTTTTTTGCCATTAAGAAGTAATTTCTTCATGGTGTCACCTGCAGGTACCAAACTTTTATCTCAAGTTGGTATTAGAAATATTTGTCTTTAGTAGTGTTCCTTTGCTTTTTTGTTGGGGTAATTACCTCAAAATAAAGTTTTGTCAGTCTGAATAGACTTTCCTTAAAATAATAAATTGTGGGCAGGTTAAGAGTGAAATTTTAGCGTGGCAAAACTCCAAAAGTACGGATATGCAAATCACCTACCTATGTGTCTTGAGTGAGAAACATAAATGAGTGGACGTGAGGCTTTTTTTCTCAAAATATGTAGGTACAGGTCCCTGTTTTAAGATCTAGCAGCAAATCTGACTTACTGTACATCTTTTCATGTAATTTCTCTGTGCCTACAGGTCGTGCTCACCTATTAATTTTACTGCATCTGGTCGAGAGGTGTTAAAAGAGCTGACAGAGCCTTGTCGTTATGATTTATGGGAAAGACCCCAACCAGAGAATGGTCCAACCAAGGTCACAACCAGAATTTATGTTTACTTTTTGGGATCTGTGGAGGTTCAACAACTTGTAAGTGTCCAATAATATTTTCTGTTAAATTCGATAATGTAGGCCTTCAGCATGCTACCACTATTAAATATCTAAGTCCCAATCCTCGAGGTTGTGTGACAAGTTCAAATGTTCCCTAGTGACATCGGCTGTTGAATTTGAATTTTAAAAAATGTATGAGTTAGGAAATCCTCATTGTTCTTTTTCCAACATATGTATGCTCAAAAGGCCCTAAAAGAATTGTAGCACTAGAGTTATGTTAAATTCTAAAAATTGTTCATGATAAAACAAAATGCAAAGTAAACTGCAAAGTATGCAACAAACAAAACCTAAAATTAAATAAAAATTGTTGTTTAAATTTGCTAAAAACAGAAAGAAAAAACTTGTTTAGGTACAAGGTGTCATTTTACACAAGAAAGAACCAGAAAAGTTTCCTGATTGGTTTATTGTTAAGTTTTCATTCTTTGAAATTTGATAGTTTTTAAATTTGTTTTTTAAATAAGCTAAGCAATGTCGTTACGGTTGTTGTGTCAAATGTGCAGCATCCAGCTTCGTAAATTTTAATTTACTTTCATTGGACTAAAAGTTCATATCACTATTTTTCTTTGCAAAAAAAAAAATGACGACCCTCAAAATGAAGATTTCTTTATGAGTAGCCCAAAGTCTCAAAATTTGAACATTTGCCTCCTGTAATACACTAAGCACTTTTATTTGGAGAATTCTTAGCATATTTTTTTTTATAGCACTCCTGAATCTTTTTACATTTCTAAGCATTAATTCGTTCTTTCCTCAGCATTTCACTGCTCATATTCTGATACGTTTTCGATGGTATGACCCAAGATTGATTCACAATGCAACTGCAAGCTTTCAAGGTGAGAATGATCTCAAAAACAGATTGTGGACACCGCACATCTACATTGTCAATGAACATGACTCGCAAGTAATGGGTGTAAATAAAGAAGATACATTAATAACTGTACAACCAGATGGTTATGTCTTGTACTCGAAAAGGTGCAGTATCTAATTTGTAATTAAAATATTATTTTCCTCTTTTATCTCATTAATAGGCAATAAGTTTATTGTGTAAAATATTGCGTATAATAACATTTTATAAGCCTCACATGGGTCTAAAACGTTACGAAAGCATCAACATAAGAAGCTTTTTGAGTCAGTTATGTAATTTTTTTCTCAGAGATATAAGAGGTATCGCCTAAAACAGGTATTATCGTTTTTTCCCACTGTATTTGCTTATCTTGACGAAAGAAAATTTTAATGAATTGTGTTGTTCAGGAAGTAAAAAATACGCATGTTTATCTATAATATGTCATTGAAAATTCATGAAGTTTCTTTAAACAATGGAGTAAGTCCAAAGCTAGACTAAATCTGATTTTGTTAAATCTACTTAGGTGTGATAGTTCTCTCTTTTTTGCGTCAATACATGCTCCAACTCATATCTGACCTCCTCATTGGCATGCAAAATAACATGACTTCTCTTTTTTCCCTCCAAGTTTTGAGTTCGACTCTTTATCACATGTTTGAAGTTCAAGCAAAGACTCAGATCATTTTCATGAAAATAATAATATGCGCCCCAGATCAGACTCAACAATTGAGAAGAGTTCTGGAAAAAGGGCCTTCTTCAGTCGAGATATGTTTGCGCCTCCAAGCATCTGGATAAAAAACAACGTAGCCAGGACCTTAGCTATAACCTACTTGTCCGAGGCCCTTCCTCTGAAACCCTTTATATTATTCACTTTTAAAATTTGAAGGCAGTCAGTTTGCATTGAAGTAAATAAGACGGAGATAATCCAAGAAATTGTAAATTTTCAATGTTGAAGACGTGGTTAAATTATTTTTTGCCACCATTGCTTCTTTTTTAATTTGACATCAAGTTTGAGAATAATTCCTTTTTGTTACCAGACTTAAGGTCACTCTCCTTTGCCTGATGGAGTTGCAAAAGTTCCCATTTGATGAGCAGAAGTGTCCACTCATCCTGGAGAGTTGTAAGTACTCTTTAATTATATTTAGGTATTACGTTTTGCATAGGTTGACATCAAATGATAGCCTTACTGTTAGTATTGTTCTGTAGGAATGTATAAGTGTTAGAGACACTATAGCAGGCTGATAAGGACCACTTCTTGAAAAATCAGAGAGTTTTGCCAAACTCTAAAAAATCCGAGAATATGCCCCACTTCGTAAACCTGGTCCTGTTCTAATGACATTTTTAAGTTTGAATTGAATGTGTGATGCAATATCCCCTATAAATTAGGTAAAATAATCAGTGAGAACCCCAATGAAACAATTAATGTTGTTACGGACTCCTTTGATAGCTCAAATCGCTCATTTTGCTTCTTTCCAAGTAGCAAAATAGAATTTTTTTCTAGAAAAAAATATTAAGAAAATTTCTAGAAAAAACAAAGAAAATGAGAGCTATCCAGAAAATAGAAAGGAAAAACATTGCGAGTCAAAAGTCTTACCAAAGAAAATAGATCTATTTCATAGGTCTACTTTCTGTCAACTTCCCATTTAGAAAAAAGATAGAAAATTTATTGATAGTAGAATTATCTTATAGCCAATTTCTTATTGTTTTCTTTTAAGAAAATGCAAGGAAAAATGCATTTTCTTTCTATTTTCTTGTGTCTATTTACTAGATCTACTTTATACATATTTTCTTTCAAGAAAATTGTTATATCTAGAAAGTACACTGAAAAAAAAATTGCTAAAATACGGTAACAAATCACCAGATTAGTTAAATCAACCCGGTGTTCTTAATCTATTTTGATGAGTTGTCACCTTTTTTCACTATTTCATGTGTTGATTTTAGCAGTTTTTTCTTTCAGTGTAGACATTTTCTTGATGAGCGCCACCTAGAAAGTAGATGACAATGCTACTTGGGATACCTTAAATTGCAAATCTGAAAGCTGCTTGTATCTAAAATATTTTATTTTAGGTATCCGTAATTGCGGAATCTGATATTGTATTATTTGAAAACTTCCTAGTAATTCTATTCGTTTGTGTCCTGAGGGATGTTTCTGTCCATAAAAAATCCGCACAAATATTTTTTTTAGTATCTTAGAGTGAAATTTAATCTTATTCCTCTGGGACAAGCGTTTTCTTTAAGTAGTATTGACCTTATGTGTCTCACACTGATTCTATCGCCAGGGATGTACAATACAACACAGCTAGTGCTTTCGTGGGAGAAGCGATCCCCAGTTGTCGTCAATAGCCATTTGCAGATGACCGAATACAATTTGGTTGCCATGTGGACTAATGTTAGCGATGTTGTCTATTCGATTCCCGAGCAAGCAACATCAGATTTTGACAATATACACCTCTACGGAAAATTTGGTAAGTCTGAATTTAGGATTTTTTGTCTACTTTTACTCGGTCAATTTTTGATTTTTTCCCAAGCAGTAGAAGGTAATGCTAAATTATTTTAAATTTCAAAAATGTCAAAAGTTTTCTCGTCAATAATTAGACTTCATCATTTACATTTTAAATTAGCCAATTTCAATTATTTGCTCACAAACAATACCATAGTTAACGCAGTTCAAATCAGCCGTTGAAATACATAATGCACATAATTCAGGAAGTCAGTAGATTTGAGCTCACAAAGATTTCATCCCTTTTCTGATGCTCTTAAAATCACATGTATTTTATTAAAATCATTGGTTACCTAATTGCAAATCTAAATGGATGGGGTGGTATCTAACAAACTGTTTTTGATTTTTTTCCACAGCCGGCACTTACAGTTCCTTAACCGTATATTTCCAACTTGAACGAGAAGTTGGTCATTATATTATGGATTACTATGTTCCCAGTATTTTATTAGTAGTTGTTTCATGGGTTTCCTTCTGGTTGGATCCAAACGCAGTTCCCGGACGAACTACCTTAGGTAAGTGTGTTTTTTTCATCTAAATTTTGAATTGTTCTACCAAGAAGAGAAGCATCAGCTGGTGAATGATTGTTCCTCATTGTTTCAAAATCAAGGAAAATAATGAACACACTAAAATCCCCTCATAACTACCTACCTACTTGAAATAGCATCACAAGGTTTGTTATATTATAGACGGTATGAACTTGCACATACTGTGCACCCCTATTAAACATGACATGCCGCTAACTAACAAAATCTCTAGAAGCAAGGGATGTACACCCAAATATGCAAATGCGAAATTGTAGGCTAACTGGTTCAGCTAGTACAGAATTCAAGATGAATACCATTCAAATGAAACTGTTTCTCACTCGACTATCTCCCTCACAATTGCTTTTTTTCTGGCTGTGTTTCGTGGTGTTTAAATGTTTGAAACACTTGAAAGTTTTGTTTTCTCTCTTTACTGTAAAATTCATTACTGCTGTACCACCATACTTCTGATGTTACAGGTGCATTAGTCAGTTGTAAGTAGTTTTCCTCAATATTACAGCATCCAAAATCAATCGTAGAAATTACTACAAATCTTTAAAATTCAAAACCTTCAAACGCTGTGATAAATTTGTTGTGTCTGTCTTCAACATATCTCAAAAACTAACAGCTCTCTCGTGGAAAGTTTTCAAAAACTAGTGTAGAAGAAGTTTCAAAATCTGACAAATAATATTACAGCAATTTATTCGGTTTTTTTAAAAAATTTCTTTACCTTATAGTTGTAAAGAAAGTTTTCTGTTAACTATTCAATATTAACTTTATCTGTTCATTGCAGGTACAAGCACAATGTTGACTTTTATAACACTTTCGAGAAATACTGGAAGCTCTTTACCAAAAGTCTCCTACATCAAAGCAACTGAAATTTGGTTCCTAGTTTGCACAGGGTTTATTTTTGGCTCTTTGGTTGAGTTTGCTTTTGTCAATACTATTTGGAGAAGGAGGTAAGTAGTAATTCATTGGTACTTGGAAAATGATCTATAGAACAACTTCATAAATAAACAAATTAATTAAATAATTTCCTTTTCATCAGAAACCTCAAAAGAACTTGCATATTTTTTTGGAAATTTAGGGGATAGCGTTTCCATGCAGCTTGTTTTTCAATGAAAACACAAAATTGAAATTTGTGAATAGAAGAAATCCCTAAATCATAGACTACAAATGAGGGGAGTGCTTGGTATCAAACGTCTTTATATATATAAAGTAGCTTTACAACGCACTTCGGCGTTCTACGACACCCAAACACCACATATGCCTGTCTTCCCAGAGGTTATCGGGCAACTGACACCGCAACATCTCTTCGTCAACGCCCTGCCGCCAACCCTTTACGGGACGCCCCCGTCGCCTCTTCCCAGGTGATACCCAATCCAAAACTTGTTTGGGCAACCTCTCCTCCGACATTCTTTGCACATGTCCATACCAGTATAACTGCCTGGACATGACGTCGTGCACGATATCTTTCTCAACCTTCATCACCTGGCGAATTCTCTCATTACGGACACGGTCCCGTCTCGGAATCAAACGTCTTTAAGAATCTAAATATCTACAATCATTCTTGCACTGTCAATAATGAGTCACTTAAATTGCAAGGAGGAGGGGGGGAGGGGTTTGTCTCAGGATCTGTTGTACCGTGTAGTTTTTGGCACAAGAAGAATGATGAGTATGTTAAAAACCTTCAAGATATCATTCATATCTGCCGAAGAATAACGTCTCCTTTTGTGTCCACTTACAAACCTGGCAAGTCATGCCGTGTAAGCAAGGTAGCGGCAGTGCTAAGCTTGAGACTGCATACTTCATTCTCAAATCTCATGCTGATCACTAACGCAGCATCGCATATTCTTCTACGTGAGCATGCAGCTTAAACCGCTTTCAGGGATATTCTGTAATAATGTAAGCTCAGGTTACTCAGTAATTTTAATTACTACATATATCCAAAAAATTAACTTATTGGATATATATCTAATATTGTTCATTCTGTATTTTAGAGAGACTTACATTCTACAAATGTTTATATAGACTATACATTTTGATGTGGTTATCTGTTGAAGGATTACATTGAGTGTAATTTTCCTTTTTTTAGATGTCAGTGTCGAACACATTGAAAAATTTCTTATAGCGCTTATCAAGAAACGTTTTACCTCTTATTAATACAGGTTCACATGACTCAATCCACGTCTTTAAATGGTTTATCTTGTAATACTCATTTATAATTTTTTCTCTTAAATTCAATAATTCTGTTTTTTGTTTAGGAACAATATTGAACTGAAAAAAGTAACAAGTAAACATATTTTGAAATCAACACTGACTCCTCAGCAAAAAAGACGACTTAGTATGCACGACTCCCACTCGGGATCCCTTCCATCAATGATAAATGGAATCAATAAGCAATATGCAATGGAAAAGGTAAGTCATCTTTTTACTCACTATCTTTCAAGAAAGGGTGCCTTGAAAAGTATTAACCTCTTAAGGTACTTTAATGGAAAACTGAAAGCATTACTTACGTTTTAAACCATTTATAATATCTTTTTCAGAGAAAAATATGGCTGTTAATTGAGAGCTCAATTCGGAAATAATGTACCTGTATTATCAACATTATACTGCACTCTCTTTACTTTTATAAAATTGTATGAATCACGAAGCTTTACAAATTGTAAGCCACCTTTGTTTTCCTAACATTCGAGTTCAAAATTTGGAATCTAATACAATTTTTTGGCCTAGTTTTCCCCAGTTGATGCTCAGCTCTTTTCTATCATCCTGTAACGTACAGTTTGGGCCACATTTTTCGTGTTTTTTCTTCCTAGCTATTGATATGTTCGTACCCCTTACCGACAAAGTAGTGTTTGCCCATTTGGGCATGTTTAATGCATTTTCGTTTGCCAAAATATTCTGTAAAAAATTGTACCATGGATTTTTTCAGACTTGTTAGAAATTTTCCTCCGGATGATCATGAAAGTTGAATACATAAATATCTCCTCAAGCAATTGTTTGCTATGTTCAATCATTTGCCCTTGAATTTCTGTGTTATTTTTATTTATTGATTTATTTTTTGAGACGATCCGTCGAAGTGTTTTTAAAATGGAAAAAAGATTTTCCCATCATTTTGTTTAATCAATCAATTTTGTCTCTTTTCAGAAAATGAAGAGTGAGACAAATCTCAATTCTCTGAATGCCTTCAGTCACGACCCATTTCCGTCCTCACTGTCCAGAAGTACCATTAACATTCAAGTCACTTCTTGCGATGGTGAACCGCATGCTGCCAAGACATTTTTCACAATGACTCCTCAAGAAATCGCTCAATGGATTGATCGAAGAAGTCGCCTATTTTTTCCTCTCGCATTTCTAGTTTTTAATTGCCTATACTGGACATTTGTTTGGATGTAAAGTCAGATCAATAAAAGCAACACCACACCAAAGTCATTTTCATATTATTAACCCTCCTTCTTATGTCTGATGAATGTCAAAGTAACTAGAGTCAATGTTAAAGTAACTAGAGTCCATGCCAAATGAGTTGATCATCTTCTAGAGAGAAACAGGAGGACCATTCTCTTGATTCCTGGATTTATCTTCAATCCTTAAATGATGTTAATTGGCAATTTTTCTATCACACCCTGAAAATCTGTCAAATTTTTTCATGTGAACTCTTTCCTGAAATATAATTTGACTACAAATGTTAATAGCATGAGCTCTTTTAAATTTTGGCTTTGTATAGTAAGCTAAAATTATGTATTAGAAAAGCGCAACGAGTAGTTTGTATTATCGTTTGTTCCATGAATGAATTTGATTTTTCAAATTTCCATTTTCATCCATCTGATAATTGATACTACACCAGTAGCAAATGTTGAGATCCATTTTTCAAGAGGTTTTTTTCAAAACTAACTGTGGGGGGGGGGCAGGGAGAAGGATATTTCAATTATTACTCATTAAGTGTGCAATACAATGGGATGTGCAGCATTAAATGAGCAGGGGTGGGGTGTCCTTCCAGTTGTTTGTAAGCTGTGGTAGAGGATCCAATAATATGAGTTTTAACAATATGAGGACCTTCATGACTAGGAGTTTGTAGAGCCATGTTTCAAATGCATTATGTTCCCATGTAAATCACTTTTGCAGGCCATGAACTTTAAGAATAATTGAATGTAGGAAAAAATGTAGAAAGAGAGAAATAAGGAGAAAAAACTGTTTTAGATTTGAACTTTCATGGAGCATCCTGCGAGGACGCCCAGACACTGTGATGGAAAAATTCAGAAGGTAAAGTAAGAAGGTAAGTATATATATCCAAAGAAAAATGGTAAGTTATGAGGATATTGTGTTAATAGAACAAAATTTTTCTCCATATAGAGCCATTATGATCGTCGGTTTGATTTTGATTGCGAGTATGCCTCCCTACAAATACAGCTTCGGCAATTTTGGTTTCGAAAATTTATTTTATAGTAGACCCTTTCCTCTTATATATCTACACGTTGATTTGTTAGTGATATTAGTACTGCCGTGCTAAGTATGAACATTGTATGAGCCTTCATACGTTGTCAAATTATCTTCAATAAAAATCGAATTTACTGGGAAAATTGTGAGTATTTTTTTCCAAATTTTTCAGACAATTTTGTAGGCAATTTTATCTAATATGTCTGAAATTTTTAGGAAAAAATATGCTCGGATTCCGTCTAAAATACATGTTTTATTAACAGAAATTTGACAACTCTCGAATGTTCATATGGCGTTCTTCCTTAGCACGGCAGAGTAGTGTGCTTGAAGTTCATAGAACTAGGATTTGTACCTACTCTATGGCTAGGATGCGGAGATATTAACATTTTCACATTGACTAGGTCCGAAGTGACTTAATACTTGTGATCTAGAATTGATTGAAAACAGTATTCAAGCAATTTTGAAGACATCCTAATAGAAAAAGATCAAAGATTGAAAATATCATGGATGACCATTGCCGATGGGAAAATTATTTTTACCGCCTTGAGATTTGAAAATTTGGGAAAACAGGCAAGAGAGGAATATCAAATAATTACAAGAATCCCTCGCGAGGGACTGCTATAATTCCTTTTTAACCAAATATTCAATATGATTATATTTTTCCAAGAATTATGTTTAGTTTTATTTAAATTTTGAAACATACCCGAGATTCTTTCCAATTTTTTTCCTCCCTCTAACTTTAACTGTCATGAGTTACTAATAAAACTATGAGCCTTGACTTTTGAGAATATTCGTTTCCCTGATTTGACATCACTGGACCCTAAAATGTAAACATTCAGATTTGGGGTGTAAAAAAAAGGAGGCGGTTTTGTTTTTTTACTTTTATTTCGATGTTGATAATCTTCTAGTAATGATTTCTCGTTATTCTGTGTGTTTTATCGTGAATTTTAATCTGTGATTTCTTTTTTAATAAACCCACCTAGTCTCAGAATGGCTAGTTCTGGGAAAATTCCTCAAGCTGAGTTGGTCCCACTACAGTCCAAGCATGAACATCTTTTGAATGAATTAGAACAAACTGAAACGAATAATGTTGGATTAGTTATCAGGTTTGACATGCTGATTTTTATTGTAGTCCTAGTACAATCCTTGATTTCATCTACTCGCAGCCCTTCATTGTTCCGCTGCCAAGTGAGACAACTCCTGACTATTGCAGTGGATGTACATATCACAGACAAGCTTACCATTGTTTTACTTACGCAGATGCTTCAACATCTATACGCTGGTCAGGGATGTAGATTATATCCTATATTAGCTATGACCGAAGGGATGTAGGGAGATGGGACCATACACGAAATGGGTAAACTTGTCACAGACAAGGTCCATTACCTGCTGTTCATTTTAACCGCAGCCGTCAGTTTCCCTTTTATACTTTGTCGTTGCACAGTTTCACACTGAATTCTGGTGGTGTCACAGCTTGCAGCTGCTATACGACAATTACAATGCTATTAGAGTCTTTCCAATGTCTCAATCCGTTTTGTAAGTCTTTAGCCAATAGTTCGAACGGAAATGTTTATGTCAAGTTTCAATTTCTGATCTGCATCTGGTAAAACAAGAATATTTCTCATCCACAAATATCCACATTTCTGGTTCATTTCTTGCTCTAGAGAGATATTTGAAAGGGGTTGCATGTGCTCTTTTCACTGTCATTTTAAGAAATAATCATCTCCTGTTTTTTTTTCAGTTAATCTTCATAAATTGCTCATTTGAATTTTCCAGCCTATATCAGAATTCACACGTCATTTTGTTTTTTCCAGAACAATTTATGATGGCAACAATGAGACGGACTTGGATAAATTTATGGAGCTTCTGGATATTCGCATTCGAGGAAGAGATAAAGATATTGAACGCATGTGTAATTTTCATTACCAGGGGTTCATTGATTCCATTTGCGAGTTGGAGCAAGTTCGAACGCAAGCTAAAAAATTGAATGTAAGTCTGATATCAAGCAATCTAATTTTTTCTGAAAGTGAGACGTAAAAATTGGACTACCTGTAACTTGATCGGAGAAGTTACATTTTTAAATTATTGTATTCCCATCTCTTTTTTGTGTTGTGGAAATCAACACTGATGAATTCTGGCTGGAATATACTTTCATGGAGTCCTTTTAACCGAAAACCATGATGGTATATGGTTATTTCGCTCAATCATTTTTGGAAAAAATTCTCCCACCTTAAGTTTACCCCGTGTTTTATCCTATGTTTTCACCCAATCTTTATTAGAAGAAAATGTAAGAGCGCGCATGTGTATCCAGATGTTATAGGTAACCAAGTCCTGTTATGCCGATTTTAATTCCCAATTTGAATTTTTTGTATCTTGAATTATTCATTCTCAGTCTCAAGCTCAGTGACTCCCACTTTTTCTATCAAGAGCTCCTCATTTTTCTGCCGAGCACAGATTTCCTTGGTCTGTCTCACCTCTCTATATCTAAGAAAACATAGTGTCTGTCTTGAAAACTCAGCCCAATTCTGTGAAGTTACTCGTGCCTTTGTCAGTCCATTCGTAAGTAGTAGCTATCTTGACGCTGTAACTGCAGAAAAGCGTATTTTGTCTGCCATGACAGGGAGTCTGTAACATGGCAAACAGAGCCTTGCATTCCTGCAGTTTCACCGTCAATGTGAGATAAGATATAAGTTTGAACAAAACCAATAAGCACCAATCAACAAACAACTTAAAAGCATGTAGATTTCATGCATAGAGGTAGTATTTGTTTTAAGTTCCTCAATTTTTATGTCTCCCTCTTTTTGTAGGTTGAAATTAATGAAATTGATGAACGTTTGCAAACTGCGGGTCAGCAAGTGGTATCCAAAGGAGAAGAATTAATCGAGGCTAGACAAGTTGAAAAAAACATTAAAGAAACGATTGAATGCTTGTCTCTTTGTTTACCTGTATTCACCACTTACTCAAAGCTTCAGAAACAGATGAAAGAAAAGAGGTTAGTTTCTGTATTCAAGTAATTCTCATCAAATTCTCCAATTGCTCCTCTTTGCAAGTCTCTGGTTTTTCGTTTTTCCAGCAGACTCACTTGCTATCTGTTATTGGCATACACCATGAGATAAAAATATGTGTGAACTTTCTTATTGATTAAATTATGGAGTTTTTACAGAAGGTGCATGGTGAAATTTTTTAAATTAACTGGAATAATTAAGTGTAATATTTTTTTATAGTTCTTTTAGTTACGGTTATTTCTAAGAATAACCCTAAATTGCCAGTATGTGCAATAATTTGTCAATGTTTCACATGAGTTTAAATTGAGGGAAATATATGATTTTTAGCACTATCTGGCAATACTGGATTAACACTTTCAATAGTGTCCATGCTAAATAAGTTTTCTCACTTTCAGACTGCAACAGAAGATCCAACATCTTGATTCTTGGATTTACTTTCAAAGCTAAACCGGCATCACACAACCTTCTGTTACAGTTTAAAAGTGCAACTATTCGGTGTGTACTCTACCGTAGTAAGATTTGTTGTGCATATCCCATTAGATTCTAGCCCCTTTATCATCAAGCAATAATTCTAAATTACTCTGAGTAATTCTCAAGCAATTAGTATCTAGAATTTTATTCAAGTTTAGATGAACTCAAAGAAAAGTGTTTCATACCCATGTATTTCATGTTTACCAGGTACTATCATGCTTTGAAAACTTTAGAGCAATTAGAACATCTACATCTACCCAGAGTTTCAGAGTACAGGTTTCTACAGCGTATGAAAGAAAGTATTTCCACGTAAGTTCCTTATGGCTCACCATTTACATGATTATCTATGGTTTAAAATTTTCACAAATAGGGTAAATAAAAATATCATAATTATATTAATGGCCAGAGTTTAAAACCGCATACCTCCATTTGCGACGATGTTGACTTCCTGTCGTACTTTATCTTTCTTTGGAGAAGTATTCATTGAGATTTCTTGAAAAATTCTATGATTTTTTTTCTCTGCCATCAAAATATTCTATATATAATTTCAATCCAAAAAGTTGGCTTACTCCTCATCGAAAAAATTAAATAGGAGCCATAATTTTGAAACATTGCAATGGAAGTTAGTGGTACCTGACTTTTGTCATCGATTTTATTGATCATTGTGGCTCTTTTTTTGCTCTTTTCAAGAGAGGGGAATTTTTTGCCATAGTAATCTCCTAGTATCCTAGATTCACAGTAGCAACATATATTATGCTGGCATTGTCTCTAAAACACGGTCTCATACTACAATTTGACATTCACAAGTGGATTTTGCAAGTCTAGAAGTGCCCAACTAGTGTTATAGAATATGACTACATTATATTGTGACTTTTACAACATTTGTGAAAAGGATAAACATTTTTTCAAGTGATCGGTGAATTCTAATTACTTATTCACCAAAACATGTGATCTTTACATACATCATTCAATATTGTCTCGAAGGATTGTATCGCATCTGTAACAAAGATTGTAGGTTCTTAATGAGGGTCTTCCATTTTCACAGTTAATGCACCAATAGAAAGATGGAGTCTTAAGACGGGAAAAAAATAGTGCAGAGGATTGTTAAGCAAATCAATCTCAATCTCATAAGGCAGCAAATAATATCAGTCTATATTCTGAAAATAATATTCAATATTTAATTTGTGTTTGGCAGGATGAGAGAAGATATCAAAGATGCATCCATGTCAGATTTGAAAGATTTTTTGGAAAATATTTGGAAATTTTCTCCTAAAATTGGAGAAGTTGCAATGAGACACGTAAGTTGATTTTATTTTTTAACTCATTCAGATTACCTCTTTAACTCATTTTAATGTTCTACTAATTCTGGCATGTACTCTTTTGATTTTTAAGAACAATCTTTATTTTCAAACTATGTTTCATGCTAACTCTTTTTTCTCATTTAGTTTTAAAGTAGTGCCTGAACATTTGCGTATTCATGTAATTATTGCTACAACTTCATCTGCAAGATTTATCGTAAAAATGTATACTTATTTTCAGTCTCCTAGGTGGTGACCTGCTTTATTTTTTAGGGTTATAAAATCCTAGCATTAACTTTCTTCCCCTAAATGGCCATTATGCAAGGGTAAGGGGTTGATCTAGAGACCCCATATTTTTGGAAAGTTCTAGGTAGATTATTCGGCTGCCCTTTTTTACTTTAAGCTGTTTCCTCGAGAAAATTCATCTAAAAGTGCCTCCTTTCATGAGTACATATCAAGAGAGAGAAAAAGTATTTCCTCAATTTTTCCATTTTATTTCCATCTTTCATCTGTGAATTGTTTTAACTTTCCTCTGTTTACAGACTGCAGAACAAATAGTAAGTGACCCTGTTCTCGTGAATCGTAAAACAAAGAAGAAAAGACAAGCACCACCTCCTCCTAATCCTTTCACCGGTGAGAAAAAGAAATTTTAAAATCTCTAATCTCTGTCAAATGTGACACAGGAAACATTTTTTCCCCATAAATTCTCTGCATCAACTCTAAATTGAACAACCACGCTTATTATGCTCATTGTTTTAAGCTTTAGAATGAACAAAACCTTTTTTTTCTCATCAAGTGGAGGGTACAGAAAAACTTTCCTAATATAATGATTTTAATGTATAACTGGCCATGAAAAAGAATTACTCATGATTCTTTCCATAAATTCCACGAGTGTCCACGAGTGCGCAGATCTGTGCAGATGCTGTAATTATAATAGAATGTGCTCTAAGTATATTAATAAAATTGTAGCATGCCTGAAAAAATAATTCTCATCTTTAAAACCTATGCTTTTGCTCATATCCAATTTACTATGGAATCATAATTTTTTAGGTGAAGTTGAAACATCGGAGCCTGAAGAGGATTTAAGTGCTCAAGATCTGATAGATTTTTCGCCAGTGTACAGGTGTTTGCATATTCATTCAATCTTGTCTTCTCGAGAAGTGTTCCAAGAGTATTATCGAAATCAACGCCAAAGTCAAGCAAAACTGGTTTTGCAACCTCCGATTAATATGGTAATGTTTACCCTTTCATTTTTTTTTATTCTCTCCCCCACTGAATCCATCCTTTTAACTGTTCCATGGAGATCTCAGGTAGATAGCTTTTCTGTATGAAAGAATCCTGCATAGTCTGGAATTAAGAATGACAGGTTGATCGCAAGATTTAGAATGTTATGAAAAATATGCCTCTACATCTTTCGGCCTCATCCATTTTACGAGAACTACTCATCTGTACTAGTTTCATTTTCCCATCAGTCAAAATATTAGTCAGAAATTATTGAGTGGAAAAATTGATTTTCTGTAATCTTTGGCTCATCCCTCAATAATTTTTATGCAGAAAAAAGGCTTGAGAAACTGTCATTGTTTTTAATTTTTTGGGGGAATCCAACAAGTTACATTGATTTGACCCAAAAGGATAACGAGGAAAGATGAGGAAATAGAACAGAGAATGAATTGAATTTGTTATTCTCAAAGTTTTTCAAATAAGCTAAACTAAGATATGGACTTCATTTTGCAATTTGGGCCTATAAATTCCGGCCCGTTTAAAAACAACGTATGTGCCATTAGTTTCCCTATGCACATAAGTGTTTCTTCAGATGAGCCAGAATTTATAGGTCCAAATTGCAAAATGCAGTCCATATGATGTAAGCTCCTGAACTTAAAATCGAGGATGTAACGTATCAATGAAACTGGACAGTCAAAAAATAAGAATATTCACCATTACAGGTGCTCTCTCCTAACTCTTGTCATGTGAGGTCAATAGGAGCTATTGAATCTTGTGTGTCAATTATCAATTAGCTCATTTTCTTTGCTGAATAGTTAAAAGAAACTTATTAAATCTTCTATAATTTGTGTTTTAAATTTTTTTGTCCTATCAGCATGAAACTATTGCAAGTTATCGACAGTATTTACATGGAGTCGTCGGATTTTTTGTTGTGGAAGATCATATATTAAATACAAGCAATGGTCTTGTTAGTAAAACCTACCTCGATGAACTTTGGAGTAAAGCTTTATCTAATATTATCAATGCGTTGCGGACACATTCAGTAAGTCTTTAAAACAAATGTTTTCCTCTTTTTAAATTAATTTCTCTTTTGTGTATAAATATTGCAATATTCCACCACTAAATAATAAATAATGAAAACTACAGATTACCCTCAGATAATTCGGGCCAAGGAACAGTAGACTGTTGGACTGAGGAAATTTAGCTCGGTTTTCATGTAATGCAACTTATCCCTACTTTTACATGTTATACACATGTTCATGTATGTTTGTACATTGTGTACGTACATGTAATTTGTATGTGCTTCTTTTTTACTTGTTGTATCTCAATGCCCTATGTTTGGTGGTTAGGTGAATTTTCAAAGGTTGTAGGAACTCCCTTTTGGGCAGCATGGCTGTGTCTCGAACGATGGATACAAATCTTGTGTACTCTCCGTTCCACAATACTTTACATGTATGTAAAATTTTGTAAGAAAGTAGTCCCACTAAATGCAATGTCATTCCTTATTCAAAATGTATATTTTCTCAATCAGAACAGTACATAAATTCCAAACAATAATTTAACTCATATGTAATATTAATGAGCATTGATTTTTATATATAAATCAGTTTATCAATAGTAAAAGATGAGTTCTTTCCTTTCATCAAATTCATTCTGTAAGATAATTTAATTTGACAAAGCAATTGATTTTTCACCACTTTTTTCAGGCATACTGTACAGATGCATCCTTAATGCTTCAGATTAAAGATTTGATCATGCTGTTCTGCACCACGCTTAGGGTAAGTTTCCTACTTAGAACCTTCCCTGTTTTTTTTATTAAAACCCATGCTTCTTCTTATGGCGTTTTTACTTTCTTTTTGATAAATTGGTCCTGTAGTGCTTTCTTTCATTTTGGCAATTGTCAATTTCCATAAGTCAAGGTGAAGATAACGGTTCAATGTTACTACAAGGCAAGAGATCTGCTCCCTCTTTAGGAATTTGTCTTGCTTCGTTAATTAGCAGGTTGGCCTTTTCACGATAAAAATACTTCTGAGTGCCTAAAGAAAATGCAATTATCCAGTTGTTTCTTGTTGAAACACAGCACGGTGAAGATTAAAAAATTGACTATCTTGCTTCTTTTAAAAAATCTACACCATGGGAATTTTGTGTTTTAAAGTTTTAAGTGATTTCAGGTTAAAAGCATTAAAACCGCATAAATAAATGTAAAAAAAATGTCCAAGCACGAATTAGATGTTAAGTTCTCATCTGCCTAACGATTTTCAGCAGTCTACCAAAATTGTATTTTAAAAAAAAGTTGAGACTTATACACGGATAGAAGTAGGAGGACTCCAGGACTGAGTGTGAATTTTTCTAATGGTGGCAGCAATGGAGGTCAGACAGCTACTATGCTACAATTTACAATCCATCTTCATAATCTTCTCTTGAGCCACGTCTTAGATCCCTCAATTAGACTTGTTAAGATTTTCATTGTTATGCGATCGGATTTACCAAAGTTTGGCGAGCTCTTTAAATTCATTTAGCAAATGCCTCCTCATCCTGTTTAACAAAACAATTAAAATGAGATTTCTTTACTTCTCTTACATGAGTAATTTGGTCTCCTTTTAAATAAAATAAGAGTGAAGACTTTGAAATACTGCAATGGAGATATGATTTCTTGCACCTTCACTGCTGTTATGCAACTAAAGAACCTAGTCTTTTCAATTTGTACTCTATTGAATGTTGTATCTACTCAAAGACAATGAAATTTCAAATTTTCTCCCAAAAAGCGCTGCTGAATTCTATCAAATCTCCTTTCTAGGGAGGAACATTGAAGAAGAAACATTTTTAAATGAAGTGTATGTTGATTTTTTTTGTTATTCATGGTCTAATTTTCTACCTTCTGTTGTTTCAGAGCTATGGATATCCTGTTAATCAGTTGTTTGAGCTTTTGCATGAAATTCGAGATCACTATAATGAGGTGCTCATGCAACGCTGGGTTCAAATTTTTAGAGAAATTTTAGAGGCTGAAGATTTTCTTCCAATCCAGGTATGCGCAGTTATTTTATCTTCTCTTATTTTTTTCAGGGAGATATCATCATTCGGGTTAGAAAATCGTTTCATTAATGAGAATTTAACCTGTTACAAAACCTGCTTATAGAGTCTATCCTATTGCCCTTTGGAGCAATGATGCAAATACTGTTTTCTGTCTTTATCAAATCAGCAACAGACTGAATGATTTTTCATCGTAGAGAAATTTTCTCTATAACAAGCGGCGCTGTAATTAACGTAGGTTGTTCAGAGGACCAGTTAATCATTTTTTTCACAGAAAAATTAACTTTTTAACGGGTGTTGTTACAGAAAGAGAGTAGGGTATTATACCTTTATGTGAGCATTAATTAATAGTTCTATGTAATGAAGTTCCGAAAATAACTTAACTTTTGAGATGCAAAATAAATTTTTCTCACTATATTTTTACCTACAGATCAACTATGAATAGACACACCATACAGGAACAACGTGTAATGATATAATAGCAATATTTTTTCCAGGACATTTTATCGCCTCTTTAATTATGATATTATTCTTACCTCTTCATGTAATTCTTTTCTTCTTGTAGGTATCAGATATTGAAGAATACAATCAAGTACTGTTAACATTCCCTTTCATGAATGAAACATTGGATTCATCACCTTTTCCTAGGCAGTTTCCTTTCTCTCCGATGGTGCCGAAAGTTTACCAGCAAGTCAAAGAGTACATCTACGCTTGTCTAAAATTTTCTGAGGATTTAGATCTCAGGTAAGATGATCATACCTTTCTCCACTCCTTAGGTGGAATGGATTTTCATGAGCTCGCCCTGTGTTTGTGTGTTCCATCTGAGTCTGTGAGAAAGAAGATTTCAGTTGCAAGTCTTTCGGGATGTTCCATGGAATGGGAAAGTTCCTTCCTCTATCCCCACTGGTTACCAAAATTGCCTGATGACAAATACTTTTAGATCCCTTTTCTCATGCAATAAACTGCAGTATCACACATCTAATTTCGTTTAATTTTCTCATGAATAAGTGTAGTAGTGTGAATTTAATATTTTTTGATCACTACTCTTGCAGATTATTTTTTCCTCACTCTCTCCTAACAATGGTTTTAAAAGGAGATGCTATGTGATTTCTGTTCCAGTGATGAAGAAGTAACAGATGTACTAAGGAAGTCAACGCACCTACTTTTAACAAGAACTTTTAGCGGTTGTTTGTCATCATTATTCCGTAAACCAAACGTTGCGCTTCCTCAGGTTATACAGATTATTGTTGATACTGGTTATTTGGAGAACGCCACGGTATTTTTGGAAGAGTTTGTCTCCAACATTACAGGGTATGTTATATAGTTCTGTGTTTAAAATTCTTCTATACATAAATTTTTTTTACAATGTGACATACATAGAGACGTGGGGGGGGGGGGAGTTCTCGCTTTAGTCGATCATTTAATAGATTAACATATGCTGAAGGAGATCATCCCTCTGCCTCTGTTTGTATCATTCTTTTGTATAAAGATCTCTAAATTTTTTGTAGTACATCAAACTAATACGGCTCCTGCTTTTTTTATTGCTTTTGCTAAGATATAAATAAAATAGCCGTAATTACATTCAGCAACCTCTTGTTTCTGACTTATTACATTAAAGTCTATCTTTTGCAGAGTCCATCGTGAAGGACAGCTTGGTGGTCAAAGTCATTTGTTCAGGGTAGCAAGAGATGATGCCGAGCACCACACATGTGAAAAGTTAAAGTGTAAAATAAATGAATTCTTGGAGCTGGATAGTTATGATTGGATGCTGGTTGAACCGCAAGGACATGCTTCATCATTCATTACAGACCTAATCGCATTTCTTCATAGTCAGTTCCAATCTTTCACGAATATTCCAGTAAGTCAGTGAATCATTTTTGTTTACAATCTATCCAATGCCGAATTGTTTGAATTTCCCTGAGTACTGGTCCCTTTCGGCAGACTCTGTTCTCATTCTTGTTTTCTTTTTGCTGAAGCAAAAAGCAATAATTCAGCAGGTAACTGCTTCTTTAAACTCATTTATTTACGATGTGATTTGACCCTGTTCTACCTTTAATTAACATTCAAGTATGCAAAATCAGTAACCTCTATTGCTGACTGATAATTCGAAACTCATTTCCTAGAGTTGAAAATCGATAAACGAAGCATCTATATCACAGGTTTTTTGTGGCAAGAGGGAGGAAATTTAGTCACTTGAAATAATTTCATCTTGTTGATCTATTGCTGTCAAAATCACGAAAATTGAAAAAATCTGGGAAAATGATGAATGATGCTGTAGGGTGACACTACCCATGTAAACAATGTTGAAAACGTGGTCTATCATAGAATCAATAATAAATGGTAAATATTGATGCCAAATCCACTGTTAGTTCAGAACTAGCCCAGCGCAGTATGGATAGCTGCTGTCGTTTGGTGTCAATGAGTTATGCATGAATAGCACTGAGCATTATGAGCACTGTGAACCAATTGGCCTTGCAATTCCCAAAAATAAAAAAAATAGACCATCCTCCTCATCTGTTTTACATTAGATCACAGGTCTTCTTTGTATGTATATTTTTCTAATCTGGAGGATCTAATACTTATTTTTCAATTTCTTATAACATATTTCCCTGCGATTTTTATTTCAGTTGGAAGTTGCTCAGGTCGCATGCAAATCAGCATGCAAACATATAGCAGATTCTATCCTACAGAGCATGTTGAGTGAGAATGTCAAACAAATATCAAGTGGTGCACTGCAACAGATTAATCTGGACACCATTCAGTGTGAACGTAAGTATTTCGTGAAACATTTTCATCTGTGTGTTTCGTGTAAATGTTAAGTTATGATCAGGAAGTTAACGGGCGCTAGGTATCAGCGCTATCAGCTTGAGTCTCTCAAATCGGACTAGAAATCATCATCAAAAAAATCATCCAAGAAATTGGATGAGCTCTGCCTGTATGTTATGGACACAGTATTAAATATCAGCGGTGAAACTCTGAAACTATGTATCTTAGTCTGCGACGTTGCGGATTTCCTGTCATACTTTAGTTTTTAAATAGAGAACTATCAACGTCAATTCTAAAAAGCTTCCATGATTTTTGGTCTATGTACGAAAAAGCTGTCTAAAAACTTCAAGGATTGATATTAATTTGTTGTCCTTCAAGAAAATAAAATGGGAGCGAAGATTTTTAAACACCGCAAATGAAATAAATGATCTGATAGTTTCACCGTCGATATTATTATCATCATACTTGATGCTAAATGATGGCATTACTTTGATGGTCTTATCCTCTGTGACATACCATTATCAGTCACTACCAGTTATGGTGATCTGTCGAAAACTCATTCATTCTGATAGCCCTCTTACTCCGGTATCATCTATTAGCAATTAATTTCAGACCATTGGCACAGATATTGATGGCAAAATAAAATAGCAGCTCTGCTATAAACACCAAAGTGATTAGTTGAAAGTGACCTCTTCTTCTTGTTTTAAGTTCACTATTTTCATCCTCTATGTATTTATGTATGCACTATGCAAGTGTGTTTCTATACAAATATCATCAGCAAGTGATTCAGAATGCCTCAATTTTTATATTTACCAAGCATTCTTTTAGGTTTACTAAATCATCATTTTCTATTCTGTTTGGTTCTACTTTTTAATCAGAATTTGCCGCATCAGAACCAGTTGGTGGTATGGAAGAGGGGATATTACTTCAATACTTCACGGAGCTGCGCCAGCTTCTTGATTTACTCATCACCGAAGACTGGTCTACATACTTCCATGATCATGGCCAAGAAAATTCAAAATATCATCTTGTGAATCCTCTAACAGCCATCAGAATTCTTGAGAAGTAAGTTTTTCACTGTGTAGCATGATGATGCTGCTTCAATATGCTCCTTTGATTGTATAACTTAAATTTTCACATAACGTGACCATTGAATCTAAAGCATTTCTCACGATACCAGATTCAGTGAGTCAGTGGCGCCTTTTTTAGTTTTAATTTTTTAATTAATTCTCTGAATGTTATGAGTTGAGCTCCCAGTAATTTTTTTTTACCCAAAATCACAGAAAAAAATCGATTTTTGAGTCTCCAAAATCAGGACCCGTTTGAGACAATATTTTCAACGGCCTGTTAAGGTGTAGGTAGGAGTCTGCATTATTTGCTGATTGGTCGAAGCCCAGTCTAAGAAATGACCTAGTTACTTCATTATAACTGTCACTTTCTGATTGATCAGATTAAAATCAGGTTTCTCTCCTCTTGGAAGCTTTTTTGAACTTTTTAATGGACTTCTTGATTTATTATGAAAGTTTACGTAAGGATCATCTGTCAGATACTGGGCAAAAATGTTATTCCACCAACTCATTCTCATCATGAGAGTACAGGTATATCAAAGTGAAAAATAGAACTATAAATAAATTGGAGAAACTCCTAGCAATGGAGCCCACTTAATCAGAAGATGCCGAAGATTTTTGTCCTTGAGCAGTGCCCTGGTTGATTCTAACTTGCGACAGAAAGTCCAATACAGTTTTTGCCCAAGCTCACATTATCTGAAAGTGTATTTCCTGAAAAGGTATTTGAGCCTACTCATTTGATATTCCTCAGACAATGCAACAAATAAGCCCTTTAGTTGCATGAGGTGTCCTGAATTTCCATTTTTCCCTTTTTTCAAAAGAGTAATTTTTACTAAAATAACCACTCTCCTATTCATCCACTGTGGGATCCTTCCCAGCAAAATCAAAATGCAATCAAGTGCAGTTTACTAGTTCGAAGCGTTTTGGTCTCTGAAATTTTGTAGGTTTTATAAGAGCACCTCCATTATTTTATTTCAATCTGATAAGCCGCCTTTGTGTAGGTATATACTTTGAATGCTACCATAAATAATGCAGCTTTATTCACCATAATAATTGCGCTAAATGTCATTTGAAATGTACAGCCAGATTTCAATTTCTTCCTTTCTTATGTTGCTAAATTGGGCATTTTTTTTATGGAAAACCTTTTAACTCATTGCAGGATGCGAGAAGCTGATAGGAAGTCTGTGTTCTCTGCGTTGAAGAAAACTGAGAGGGACAAGAAGAAGTTGCTGGAAACTGTACTGAAAACGCTGAGACAACTTGCTGTCACAACTCTGAGGCAACAACAGCCAGATTCATCCTGATATTAAAAATTCTATTCAAATTGAGATGTGGATACCTTAGTTGAACTTTGTAAATACTTGCCTCAATGTTTTTAAAATTGCAGCAAGACTGTCCCGTTGATTGTTACTTCCCCGATTTGTAAGACAGATATTTTAGTTATTGTTACACTGTTAAATGAGAAATCATTGTTTTTGTTTTTGTAATTAAGTTTTAGTGCCTTAATAAACTAATGGAAGAGATTTTTGCCAAGTGCTTGAGTTAGTTTTCTTGAAAGATGATTACTTTCTTGCGACTGAAAACACGATTTCCAATTTGACAAGATATGCAGAAAGAGGACGAGAAGTGACAACTTTTTTCATATGTTTTTTACATATTTGGATCCTCCACAACTTACGTTTGGTATAGTTACATCCAATTAATGCAAATAACGAACTCATGCAGCAACAAATTTTACGTCTGATAAACTTAAGTAATTTAATGTGATTTTTTCAGACTACACATCAACGGTGAAACTCCAAAAGGACGTACCCAGGTTTGCGACATCGCAGACTTCTTGCCATTCTTTATTTTTTAAATGGTAAACAACTCAACGGAAATTTTTACAAACTGCCGTAATTTTTCCTATCAGAGCGAAAACATTTTTGTGCAAACTTCATGGATTGGTGTCAATTGGTTCTTTTTATAAAAAATAAAATAAAAGCGAAGATTTTATAACACCACAACGGAGATAAGTGATTTGGGAGTTTCACCGCTGTATGTTTGGGCTAAATATCAATTGAACAGGATCATTTTCTTTGTAATTCACAAAAGCAGCTTTCTAAACAAGTATTATGTGAAAA